GCAGAATGATGTTTTTACTTTTTACTTTTTGAGTTAGGGTCTCACTCTGAAGCCCAGGCTGGAGTACAGTGACACAATTCTGATTCACTGCAGCCTCAACCTCCTGGAATTAGGTGGTTGGTCCACCTCGGCTCAAGTAGTCCTCCTGCCTCAGGCTCCTGGGACTATAGACATGCACCACCATGCCTGGTTAATTTTTGGATTTTTTATAGAGACGAGGCCTCACTATGTTGCTCAGGCTGGTCTTGAACTCCTCAGCTTAAACAATCCTCCCACCTTGGTCTCCCAAAGTGCTAGGATTACATGGTAAGCCACCATGCCCGATCTGTTTTTAATTTTTATTATTATTATTGATTCAGAGTCTCATTCTGTCGCCCAGACTGGAGTACAGTAGCACGCTCACGGCCACCGCAGCCTCCTGCTGGGCTCAGGTGATCTTCCTGCCTCAGCCTTCCAAGTAGCTGGAACTATAGCCATGCGCCACCATGCCTGGCTAATTTTTTGATTTATTGTAGACCTGAGGTCTTGCCAAGTTGCCCAGATTGGTCTCGAACCCATGGGCTCAGGTAATTCTCTCACCTCGGCCTCCCAAAGTGCTGGGATTATAGGCATAAGCCACCGTGCCCAGCCTGTTTTTACTTTTAAAATGGCTTAATTATTGTTAACATTTTAGTATGTTTCCTTCTAGTACTAATCTCCTATCCCTGCATTTATTTCACATGTTGAGAAGCATTTTAGTCATAGTCAGGGCTTTGTCAGTAGAAAGATTTGTTTTAAATTATTGCTGTGTCCTGTAAAAGCTCTCTGACATTCCCAAATCACTTTACCTCATGAGCCTCTGATTTCCTAAAAATGATTACAATTCCTGAGGCGGAAGGATCGCGGAGCCCAGCAGGTCGAGGCTGCGGTGGCCGGGAGCGGCCACTGCACTCCAGTCTGGGCGACAGAGTGAGACTCCGACTTAAAAAAAAAAAAAATGATTACAATTCAGAGCTGTTTTGTGAAACTAAAATAAGTAACACGTTTGTTTATGTAACCATTATCACAGATTATCCAATATGTAGTAAGCATTCAGCGCTTGTCTAGCAGGTACATTAAAAATGTCAGCAATATATGACACATCAATTTCAAGTTTGCCTTTTATCATTTAACATTATACCATGAGTACTTTATCTTTTTTTGAGTTGGAGTCTCACTTTGTCGCCCATGCTGGAGCACAGTGGCATGCTCCCGGCCACTGCAGTCTCGACCTGCTGGGCTCCGGCAATCCTTTTGCCTCAGCCTTCCAAGTAGTTGGAACTACAGGAATGTGTCATCACACCCAGCTAATTTTTCTTGATTTATTTTAAAGACAAGGTCTTGCCAAGTTGCCCGGGCTGGTCTCAAACCCCTGGGTTCAGGCAATTCTTTTGCCTCCGCCACCCAAAGTGCTGGGATTACAGGCATAAGCCACCAGGCTTGGCGAGTACTTTCTTATGTCATTAAGTATTCTTTTAAAGAGAACATGATTTGATGATAACATAATATTCTATTTAATGGGTGTACCATAATTAATTCACTCCTTCTCAACACAGTACAGGACATGAGATATTTTATTTGTCCTGATGCACAGACTATCTTAGTATATAGTTCACCACATCCTGATCATTTCTCTCTCTCTCTCTCTCTCTCTCTCTCTCTCTCTCTCTCTCTGTTTCCTTCTTTCTTTCTCTGTCAAGGTCTCAGACTGGAATGTAGTGGCACTATCACGGCTCACCGTAGCCTTGGCTTCCTGGACTCAGGTGATTCCTTCTGCCTCAGCCTCCCGAGTAACTGAGACTAAAGATGTGTGCCACCATACTCAGCTAATTTTTTATTATTTGTAGAAACAGGGTCTTGCTCTGTTGTTTAGGCTGGTCTCAAACTCTTGGGCTCAAGTAATCATTCTGCCTTGACCACCCAAAGTGCTGGGATTACAGGTATAAGCCACCATGCCTAGCTGCTGATCATTTCTTTAAGAAGAGTTTCTAAAGCCGGGCTCGGTGGTTCAGCCTGTAATCCCAGGCTTTGGGAGGCTGAGGTGAGTGGATTGCCTGAACCCGCAAGTTCGAGACCCGCCTGGGCAACTTGGCGAGACCTCATCTCTACAATAAATCAAAAAATTAGCCGGGCATGGTAGCGCGCGCCTGTAGTTCCAGCTACTTGGAAGGCTGAGGCGGAAGGATCGCCAGAGCCCAGCAGGTTGAGGCTGCGGTGGCCAGGAGCGACCACTGCACTCCAGTCTGGGTGACAGAGTGAGACTCCAACTCAAAAAAAGAAAAAAAAAAAAGAATTTCTAGAAGTTGAATTTCTAGATCAAAGGATTAGACATATGACTATTAATATGGTTGAATATTTTCCCTGTGCTTTTTGGCCTTTGTATTTATTCTCTTAAAAATTGTTTTTGGTCAGGCACAGTGGCTCTTGCCTGTAATCCCAGCACTTTGGGAGGTGGAGGCAAGAGGATTGCCTGAGCCCAAGAGTTTGAGACCAGCCTGGGCAACTTGGCGAGACCTCATCTCTACAATATATCAAAAAAATTAGCCGGGCATGGTGGCACCTGCCTATAGTTCCAGCTTCTTGGAAGACTGAGGCAGAAGAATTACCTGAGCCCAGCAGGTTGAGACTGTGGTGACTGTGAGTGTGCCACTGCACTCTAGCCTGGGCAACAGAGTGAGATTCCGAATCAAGAAAAAAAATTGTTTTTATATCTTTTTTTAGAAAAAATATATTGAGTTCCTTTTTGTACTTGAGTAGGAAGTGATCATAATCCAGTCCCACCTCTGTTGCATCTGCTGGCAAATAGCATGTTCTGGGCTTTGGGCTAGGAGGAACTGAGTGAGGGGCTCGGGCACAGCTTCTGGAGCCAGGTTTCCTGAGCCAAGTTCACTGACACTCCTTAACCTCTCAAAGCCCCAGGTTCCTTTTTTTTTGAGTTGGCTTCTCACTCTGTTGCCCAGGCCGGAGTGCAGTGGCACGCTCACGGCCACTGCAGCCTCGACCTGCTGGGCTTAGGCAATCCTACCATTTCAGTCTTCCAAGTAGCTGGAACCACAGGCGCACACCACCACACCTGGCTAATTTTTTTATTTATTGTAGAGACGAGGTCTCGACAAGTTGCTGAAACTGGTCTTGAACCCCCGAGGTCAGGCAATCCTCTCGCCTCAGCCTCCCAAAGTTCTGGGATTACAGGCCTGAGCCACCATGCCAGGCCTTAGCTCCAGGTTTTTTTTGTTTTTTGTTTTATCTCTACCTCACAGGGCTGTTTTGAGGCCGTAATAAATCCTGTGTATGAAGCCCTCAGCATGACACTTGACTCTAATACATGGTCAAGAAATGTGAGCTCTCTTTGTTATTACCATTCCCATCATGCGATCCTTCAAGAAGCAAAGACAGATGTGGCATGTGTTTGCATTAAAATAGACATCTGGGTTTCTAGGAAATGAAACTATGAGCAGTTGTTTCCTTTGTAGCAGAGTGCCTCATGGTTAACGCTTCATTAGACCTTCAACACAAAATGAGCCTGGGTGCCAACACTCAGATCTAGAACATGTCTGATTTAGGTGACAAAATAATTTCAGGAAAAGGCCACGGATGCCTTATTCTGATTCAGTTTTGGCATATCTAATAACTCACACTAGCATCATACCACTTGCCAAGGACTTGAAGAATATTCTGTTATTTGAGCTTTACCATGGCCCTGGAAGGTCACTGGGAAGGGGTTCTTATGCTCATTTTATAGTCAGAGAAATTGAGTTTTAGAGGGCTTGGATGATAGACACAAGGCCCCCTAGCTAATGACCAGGAGAGCCAGCGCTGACAGACTTTCCTTGTCTAAACTTCAGTCAGCCACCCTTAAGCCTCTAGGTTTCAGCCTTTGGGCTTCGTGTCACCTTAGTGTTGTCCAGTTTGAGCAGGAACGCTGCTATATCACTTACCTGAGAACCACCTATGTTGATAGGTGAGCACTCTTGATATCTGATTAAATTCCTCATCCCTTACCATGCCTACGTTGATATCTGATCTCCCTGACCTGTCTTCAGCAAGAATCCTGTCAGATCAATTTAGTCAGAATCCCTCTGACCCCTGATGTTTCCTCTTGGTAGTTTTCCATCCAGGGACCCTCATCCTGCTCCCTGGCTGTAAATTGCCACTGGTTTTGCTGTATTTAATATTGAGTTTCTTTCTATACTGAGGTCTCTTTCCCCCTACTGCGATAGGGGTACCACTGCCCAGATCTGGTTTCCTTTGATGGCACCTGAGCCCGGGGTTTCCCCCAGTTTTCGTTTTATGAGCATCCCCTCCCCACCCCTCACAGCTCTGTCTACATAGTCATTCAGACAACACCATATGCTAGAAAAGGCACAAAGTAACTTAAATGCAGGATGAAGAAATGAGACCCACAGAAGCTGTGTCCTCAATTCAAACATCTGCTCCTCCTCCCTAGAGAACGTATTTAACTCTTGTAGGAAGTTGGAAAGAGCAAGTGTTGATTAATTTAAAATTACAAAATGCCCTCTTGATTATTCTCGATAATGAAATATCACGAAGCACTTTCCCCCAGCAAATAACCTAAGCACAGATTCTTTTTTTTTTTTTGTTTTTTGAGTTGGAGTCTCACTCTGTCGCCCAGACTGGAGTGCAGTGGCCGCTCCCGGCCACCGCAGCCTCGACCTGCTGGGCTCCAGTGAACCTCCCATCTCAGCTTTCCAAGTAGCCGGAACCAAATTAGCCGGCTATCACGCCCGACTAATTTTTTGTTTTATTATAGAGATGAGTTCTCAACCAAGTTGCCAGGCGGGTCTCGAACCCGCGGGCTCAGGCAATCCACTCACCTCAGCCTCCCAAAGGCACGGGATTACAGGCTGAGCCACTGAGCCCGGCTAGCACAGATTCTTTAACATTGCTCTTGCCAACTGGTTTCAGTTCTTTCCACAAAGATCATGGATAATACATTTTGGAAATCGCTTGGCTGTTCTTACCATTGTTAGTCTTCTTCCAAAATGGAATATACAGGTCGAGTTGAAGAGAACAGAGCATGAGAGGTGCCAAGATCAGCTTGATATGGGTCCAACAGCATCAATTAAGATGAAGAGAACACAGGAAACTACATTTCAAAGATAGCACAATACTGTAGCTTAAGGCCATCCTGGAAGCGTTGCTTTAAATGTGCTTGAAACACGTATATGTAGTGTTTACTTTCTCAGAGTTAGATAGACTGCAGACATACTCCTCTAGAATACCATTTCTAACATTACTGAAACTCTCACTTTATTTTTCAAGAATTGACACTTTAGACTACGACATTTTTTCTTTATATTCTAAAAGAAACCTTTTTGCATGCGATTTGGGTTTCCTCTCCTCTCCTCCCCACTCCCTTCTGACAGCACATCTATTTACTCAAATTATCCAAATTTGTTCCAATGCTTAAAATACCTTTCTTGATGGCATGGAGTGGTCCTATATCTGGAGTCTTCTGAGATGAAGAGATGGGCGACAGGAAGCACCGAGCCACAGAGACTCCAGGCTGCCAGTACAAAGATGAGGTCAAGGGAGGAAGGAGGAGCGTGACTATTTAAGTCACCCCAGATATGAGGTTTGCAAAAACACCAGGTTCCTCTTATTTCTGCCCCCAAAATGTCTCATCTAAATCCAAACAACTTGATAGACCAATTTTCATATCAGGCTTTCCCAACTTCAGCACTATTGGCGTTTTTGACCAGATACTTATTTGTTGCACTGTGGGATACTTGGCAGCATCCCTCCCTTATATTCACTAGACGCCAGTAGCACAGCCCCTTTCCCATTGTGACAATCACAGATGTCTCTAGACATTGCAAAATATTCCCCAAGGGGCAAAGACGCCCCAGGTTGAGAACCACCTTTCCGTAGATATCTTACAGACATGTCTAAATTTACCTTGTTTTGTCTTATGCCCAGCTGGCAGGCGTGCTGGTTTTTAAGTGGTGGCAAAGCTACCAGTTGGTTCAGTCACTTTAGTTAAAAAAAAGGTCAGCTGCACTTGCAGTCTAGTCTCAATATAAAGCCTTGCTTCTCAAAATGTGAGCCCCACGGACTAGTTCTCTTCTTTACTGATTATTGGGCATTTTGTAGGTAGAGTCAAAAATACGGTAGTTATGCTTAAAGCTCTTTAATCCCATTAGTCCACCTAGAAAGAATTTGGAAAACGCAGTGTTTGCCAAGGGGAAATCTGCAGCTAACTATCAGGGTTAAAATATACTGGGTTGAAAATCAATGGCACCCCAAATCAGATGAAAAACTACTAGATACAATAATGAGTGACGGGCTGGGCACAGTGGCTCACGCCTATAATCCCAGCACTTTGAAAGGTCGAAGTGAGAGGATTCTCTGAGCCCACGGGGTTTGAGTCTAACCTGGGCAACTTGGTGAGATCAAAAAATTAGCTGGGTGTGGTGGCGTGTACCTGTAGTTCCAGCTACTTGGAAGGCTGAGGTGGAAGGATCGCCGGAACCCAGCAGGTGGAGGCTGCAGTGGCCGTGATCGTGCCACTGCCCTCCAACCTGGGCGACAGAGTAAGACTCCAACTCAAAAAAAGTGACATTTACTGAGGTTTGTTATGAGCCAGATACTATTTTAACTGCTTTATATGTATTGCCTCATCAAATACTTAAAAAGTATAAAGTAAATATCTTATTACCCTTCCTTTTTATTTCTTTTTACAAATACTACAATTGATAACAGAAAAAATACTGAATTTACCCTTACCAGTGATACCCACACAGGCAGTAAAAATCAAATGCCAGCTGGGCTCGGTGGCTCAGCCTGTAATCCCAGCACTTTGGGAGGCTGAGTTGAGTGAATTGCCTGAGCCCACGGGTTCGAGACCCACCTGGGCAACTTGGCGAGACTTCATCTCTACAATAAATCAAAAAATTAGCCGGGCATGGTAGTGCGCGTCTGTAGTTCCAGCTACTTGGAAGGCTGAGGCGGAAGGATCGCCGGAGCCCAGCAGGTCGAGGCTGCAGTGGCCGGGAGCAGCCACTGCACTCCAGTCTGGGCGACAGAGTGAGACTCCAACTAAAAAAAAAAAAAAAAAAAAAAAAAAAAAAAATCAAATATCTCCCTATCAAATCATTCTCCTATGCAAACAATATGAAAAATCAATAGCTTTCTCCCATATAAACAATAACTGATACAAATTGGTAATGAAAGGAGAGAGTCCATTCAAACAGTGAAATCTGAAATACTTGGGAAGAAAATAGACAGGAAATGCACAGGAACTAAGGTGGTGGGAGGAGAACCGGGAACATAATGCTTCACCTCACAGGCTGCAAGCTTTCCCTTTCCCCCGTCAGATCACCCTTTCAGCCTTTCCACACTGCTCTATATTCTGGAAGCTGTGCTGTATGAACTTCAATAACCCCTTCTCCGAGGCTTCTGGTTGGGTTTGGCCAGTGGGAAACCCAGGATGGAAATTGAAGGGCAGAAGGAGGGAGGGCAGGGTCTCCTTCTCCCAGTGCCCTCTCTCTACCCGGTCATGAGTGGGCTTCCACACGCTAATAAAGCTCTTATCTAGTGATGTTCTCTTGCCTGAATTCCAATAGTTGTTCCTTCCCCTTTAGGCCACAGGTTGGAAGACTTCCCCCTGAAGTGGTTCATCATCCTTTCTTATTTCCTTAAATTCTGTCCAAATATATAAATAGTCACTTTGCTGAACTCATCAATTTCTCACTTGAGTGTACTGTCTGTTTCCTGCCAGGACCCTGCCGAGACACAAAGACATAAATAAATGAAAAGAAATAGTTGTTATTAGGGCTAGAGCTCACAACATTGCAAAAATAGAAATTTTGCTGAAATTGATTTGCAAATGCTGTGTGATCTCAATGAAATACCAATAGGATTTCATGAGAAACTTGCCAGATTGCTTTGAAAATGGGGTGCATTTGGGAAATCAGTTGGGCCTTTTTGTTTATCACAAAGATCAGGGCTATGTTATCCATGATTGTCACCTCCATACACATAATAAAAGGCACATTACCAAATATCTGTCATAAAAATGAGACATTGGGTCTGACTGGGCTAAGACCACATGTGAGAATAGCCAGGTAATTTCTGAATGAAAAAGTAACAAGGAGAGAATTTCTCTTCCACATCTATAAAAGCATGATAATGCTGTGTTGTCTAAATGGTGCACTAACAGCACACCAATGAAACAGAGCAGAGGGCAGAATTAAGTAAAATCACCTATGAGGTATTAGGTTAAAGTCACAACAATGGCAAAAGAGATTATTAAAATAATGTTGGGGAAATTGTTTGGAGTTTAGAAAAAATAAAGCTATTGTCTAACCTCATTTTTTACATCAAAATGAATTTCTTAGGGCTCAAAAATTTAAATGTAAAACGTTGCACCTTAAAAATACTAGAAAAGGCCGTGCACAATGGCTCATGCCTGTAATTCCAGCACTTTGGAAGCCCGAGGCAGTAGGATCATTTGAGGTCAGGAATTCAAGACCAGTCTAGACAACACAGTGAGATCTCATCGTACAAAAAGTGTTCCTCTAGTCCCAACTACTCAGAATGCTGAGGCAGCAAGATCACTTGAACCAAGGAGCTGAAGTCTATGGTGAGGCATGATCATGCCACTGCACTCCAGCCTGGGTGAGAGAGTGAGACCCTAACTCAATTTTAAAAAGTAAAAATAGAGCAGGGTGCAGTGGCTCATGTCTATAATTCCAGCACTTTGGGAGGCTGAGGTGAGAGGATTGCCTCATCCCAGGGCTCGAGACCAGCCTGGGCAACTTGGCAAGATCTCGTCTCTACAATACATAAAAAATTAGCCAGGCTTGGTGGTACACACCTGTAGTTCCAGCTACTAGGAAGGCTGAGGTAGAGGGATGGCTTGAGCCCAGCAGGATGAGGCTGCCGTGGCCATGAGTGTGCTACTGCACTCCAGCCTGGGCCACACGGTGAGACTCTGTCTCAAAAAAAAAAAAAAAAAAAAGGAAAAATAAATAAAAACACTATGGTGAAATATTATAATAATCTTGATGTGGGAAAGTCATTCTAAGTATGACAACAGCAGCAAATGAGCAAACAAGAAACCAACAGCAACAACCTCAGGGTCTTAAAGAAAACATTGAAAAAGTTGACTACATAAAAATATATCTGCCTTCTCATCTGTACAATGAGGGATGAGGCTATGTGATCATTAAAACGCATCCTGGTTTTATGTGGTAAGATCCTGAGACATTATGATATTATGCATTTAGCATGTCAATTATGCTTTCTTGTACTGTTATTGATCTTTTATTCATATCTCCTAGTTCTCCAATAATACCACAGACCCATTGAGCTAAGAATGTGTTGTCTCCAGTGTCCATAGTAAGTGCTTGAGAAATCAATCGTTGTGGTGGTGAAAATGAAAGTGATCATGAAAATAAGAACAGTTCTATTATTTAGGCTAATTTTGAGAGGAAGATCATCAGGCAGATTAATAAACTGAAGTAACCAGTCATCTGAATGGATTCACTAGCTGGTTGAATTAACTAGGAGTTTAATCAAGTGCAACTGGTCTAGTAGTCAAACATCAATAAAGTCAATGTTTCTTTTTCTTTTTTTGAGACATGGTCTCACCCTAACTCCCAGGCTGAAGTATAGTGGGTAATGATCACAGCTTACTGCAGCCTTAGACTCTTGGGTTTGAGCAATTCTCTTACCTCAGCCACCTGAGTAGCTGGAACGACAGGAGTGTGCCACTACACCTGGCTAATTTTTAAAAATTTTTTTGTAGAGAAGAGATCTCACTATGTTGCCCAAGCTAATCTCAAACTCCTGGCCTCACGTGGTCCTCTTGCCTCAGTCTCTCAAAACGCTAGATTACGTGCCCTGCCAAACCTATGTTTTCTTATTCAGAAGATACTAAGTTGTCCTTAACTCAATATAAAGAATTCAGTAGAAGAGTAGTTATTGATTTTCTGATAAGTGATATTATATCATTCTACTTTAATTCAATTGTATTAATATACTAATTTTTAAAGAAAATCTTTTTTCTTTCCAACTTATTTATTTATTTATTTATTTTTATTTATTTATTGAATCGGAGTCTTACTCTGTCACCCAGACTGGAGTGCAGTGGTATGCTCACGGCC